ATAATTTTCTAACCATTCAAAATCTGTATATGGCAAGCTCTCGCTCATAGAAGCACCATACTGATTATTTATATCGAAGTACATTATATAAGATTCTGGTATTAAGGGATTAAAATCTTTTTCCATAAATCTATTATTAGCTTTCGCGTATCTGTTTGAGCATTGTGAAACACCACCTCTAATTCCCTTTTCAATAAAAAGCAACATTTCTACATCTGTCAACAAATCAAGTTTTATGTCTGTGTACTTGAGCATAGCGTCAAATGCCAGTCCAGGGGCAGTATAGTAATGTAACGCGTCCAAGTTATAAGTTGTAAAACAGGTTTTTCTAAAATTTTCAAAAATGTCGGCAAGTAGTAGAACGTCAGTCTGTAAATACAAGTCAGAGTATTCTCCTATTGTTTTTAAATTAAACGTTTTCCATACGTTACAAGCATGTTCATAGTCTTCGTCTGAAATATAAGCGTCATTTAATTTAGAGTAGAAAGAGTCTTTTACTGGCAATTGTCCTTCTTCTAATTTTTCCCAGCTACTAACATATTCGTAAGGAAATATTCCTTTTCTTGTCAATAAATTAAACTCGTCCATATTTTTACAATACTTTTTAGTAATTTTTTTCTCATCATTTTCAAGATAGAAGGACAATTTGTCTAAACTGCTGGGCATAAATTTAAATGAATCAAGAAATCTTAATACTACTTTTGTGCCTTTGACATACTTTGAAAATGAAATGTACTTTTCTTTGTTTATTGGTAACAGTTTCATTTCACCCTCAAAAGACGTTGCTAAAGCTTTAATAATGAAATGTGCATCATATCCTGACAAGTTGTGAAAAATTATGGGAACAACATGCGAATCTTTATAATTTACATTGCAACCTTGATGTGCCGGACCACGATATTTTCCCGTGAAATGACAATGATCGCGGTGTTTAATGTCATCATTTTCAAAAGGTTTTTCACAAATATGACAAACTGTTGCTGTGTCAAATTGAATTTGTTGTAAAATAGTTAAATTTTCCATTGGAATAATATTTGTAAAATAAGAATTTGCTTTTTCAGCTAATTGTTTTAATTCTGTCATAAACCAATCAACACAATCTGGACCCCGATATGATTTAAATTCTGAAAGAGATTCGTTAAAATTGCAATGTACATAGAAAGCAAAACTTGTAGGGATATGTTTTTGGTATGTTGATGTGTTTGTGTGTGTACTTGCTATTGGTTCTAAGAGACTTTCAGTGTCAGCATACACGACAAAGGGAACATTTTCTTTATTTCTATGATTTTTAAATTTTAAAATTTTATTCTCTTCTTCAGGTAAAATCACTCGACACATGTTTATTTTATCACAATCAATTTTATGATTATTAAATGATTTTTCATATTTAAAATGGCATAAACATCTATCACAAAGTATGGTTCGATTTCGATCTTTTGTTATTTGCGATTTTACTAATCGAGATAAATTATTAATTAATGCAAAATGATAAACTTTGTTATTTTGAAAATTATTATCATCATCATCATCGTCTAAATCAAGTTCTGTATTTTCAATCATTAATAAGTGATAAGTAGGTTCATCTGATTTGTTTTTACTTAAATAAAGTGGAACAATTTCATTCTTTTTATTACTGCTTTTATCAATTCCGTAAACATTAATACTTAAATTGTTTAATTTTTCAAATTTTGGAATATCGCTGAGAGTAATGGGGAATTCAAAATCATCAAACTTTAAATCAGTATCTTTAAAGTGGGGATATGAACTTGTAAGATCATTGTTCTTTTTAGCTGGATAACGTTGTGCAATTATTGACCATAAAAAACAGTATTTATCAAAATTTTTAACATTAATAACAGCTCTTTTATCGATTATAAATTTTGGCATTCTTATAAAAGTTGAGTATCCAGCCGCAAGAGGGACATATTTATTTATATTAACACTTAAATTTATAATTTCATTTAAAGACCAACCTGACTTTTTTTGTTGAAAATCATCAATCTTAACAAAAAGTTTTTCACGAATTTTATGATCAAACCATTCATCAAAGTTTGTTGATTCTAAAATTTTTGAATTTCTGGTATTGAAATATTTAATATCTTCAATTTCCTCACCTTCTTCTAAAACAGTATAATTTGCCGCAAGAACAACATTAACTTTCATGTTTCCTACCTTTTTAAATGCATTTTTTAATCGAGAAATAATCATTTTCTTTGCATCACTGAGAAAACTGTCCATATTTTTATGTTTCAAATTAATAACAACACCTGTTCTAATTCTATTCTCGAAAGCATTCTCTAATTCTTCCCACCTGATCCATCTCTCATCCTTTTTAAATAAACCAGTTCCTGTTCTTCTTAGTTTCTTAAACTTTCTGCTATTTGCTTTCAATAGTCCAATAGTTGACAAAATCTTTTTTTTCTCTCCACATGACACAGATCCATTTCTTAACAATTTATTCAGTAATCTAATGTTTTTTACACTATTATTTATCCAAAAATTTAATTCCTCAGTTGTAGTTTTTTTACTTAATGTTTTAAAAGCATTGTTCATAATTTTCACAAAATCTTTACAATAGTTAGAGCTTTTATCAGTTTCCACAACTTTAATTGCTGCATTTAATTTATCCAAATTCATTTTTATCACTTGTATTGAAACTGTCAATTTTTTTCACTACAATGATTAACTCCGATCAGACTAAAATTGAACTTTTAACTATAGCGATTTTTTTAAAACGAGATGATTAAGCGCATTTGAATTTCACGATGTTTTTCTGATATGTTGATTGAACAACTTAAACTGCAGGAATGATTTTGTTAAGAAAAATTGCCTTCTTTATATACACAAATTATGACTAATTTAATTTCAAGTTAATTATGGTTTTCTTAGAATTGTGGTAAAAAACAAAAACAGGAAATTCCAATGATAATGAGTCATCAACCCTATTTTGGGAAAAACAAAGAAATTGTGCGTCATCGTTAAAGAATGCACCATGTAAAAAACAAAAACAGGAAATACCAATGATAATGAGTCATCAATAAAAAATTCCAAAACTCTGAGTCATCAACCCTATTTTGCGAAAAACAAAGAAATTATGTGTCATCGTTAAAGAATGCACCATGTAAAAAACAAAAACAGGAAATTCCAATGATAATGAGTCATCAACCCCATTTTGCGAAAAACAAAGAAATTATGCGTCATCGTTAAAGAATGCACCCAAAAAATAGGAAATACCAATAAAAAATTCCAAAATTCTGAGTCATCAACCCCTGTGGAAAATTCTAGGATTGTTTTATAATTCCAAGAAATTAGATAAATTCCAAGAATCACGATCTCAATATCCCCCCCCCCAAATTCTTGGAAGTATGACGTCATATCCAGCTCATCATAACAGTCTGAATACCCCCCCCCCAAATGGTTTGAGTCTTGGCTAAGTGGTTTGAGTCTGGGCTAAAAGTGTCGGTAACATGTCGGTGCAGGGATCTCTAGATAGAACCCTCCCTGCCTATCTACTCCCGAAAACCTTTATATACGAGCAATGACGTGAATTGCACTGCTACAAAAAAGTCGGGCGTTAAAGGGTTAATATTTCAAATCTGTTAAAATGACGAAAAATGATATCAATTTAAACCAGTTTAAAGCTTTCTGTAAATTTTAAAAAGTGAAATCATTTGAATCCTTTCTTGAACGTAAACATTGTTAACATTTTAATTTTTTTGGATTGAAATGGATTAAACTGATTACAACAGCTTCCCAACAGTGTCAATATAGCGTAATCAGTACTGGTCCAACAATTTCCTTTGTTTCGCTTACTTAAAGAAATTTACAAAACATTAAATTTTATAAAAAGTGTGTTAAATTACATTAAGCTGCTGAACTACAAATACAAATATCTTTGAAGTCAAACAACTTTGACATCTGTATTTAACATTTCTAGACCAAATCTAGGCCTAGATCTCCTCTCAACTTGTGCACGTTTGGATACGGTGATCATGTTATCTCTCCTCATTTGCTCCCTTCGAGGAGTGGAAGTAGATGCTCTTTGTTTAAAATCATCACTCACCTGGGGTACGGCTGGATGCATTGTTGTAGGTTTGTTTCCAATAGCATCAGCAATATCCAATGCAGTCGGTCCTCTATTGGAGCCCTGAAAGGTGTTATCAAGTAAGGGGGAAAGGGTTCACCCTCTCCGGTGAACCCTTTCCGTCAGATTCTCGATGACCTCTCAAAGTCTGTCATTTGCTGAGCTATCTCGAGTGAGACTGATCTGAGCCCTTTTTCGGACCGCCTGTAGCTTTGAATCTAGCTCTGTAAATATCTAAAATTTTGTCTGTGTTTTCTTGGTGAGGATGATTAATATTTCTTTTTCCATAATTTGAGTTGAACGAACTTAATATTTAATTAAAAGCTATGCAAAGCAAATCCATGCACAGCAAAGGCAAGCAAACGAAAAAAATTGAAGAGAAAAAAAATTTGAAAATTCTAAAGGCGAAGGACCAGAGAAGAAAAGCAAGAGAGAATAAGAGAGACCGTGTATACAAAGGGTTTGTGTATACAAATTGTTTCTGTAATATTAAGGAAGAGAAAAAATAAAAGAAAATTTAGAAGCTATTCAATTGTGCGCGTAATGAGTATGTTGACATAATGAGATAGATTGTTTCTCATTTTTCTACATGGAAAAAGCAGAATTCGGTTGAAATTATTGACACAAACTATTAAGAATATAGAAAGTGGGCAAAACGCGTCAAATTAGAGCCTTTCTTGAGAAAAGGCATTCCTGAGCACGACTGTACATACACTGCACAACACTGCAACATTAATTGACAAAAGAAAAAGAAAGCTATAATATTAAATGTTAATACCCTTTTCTTTTTCAGTTTCAAAAAAGACACAAAACACATAGACAATCAATGCGGATCACATAACAAATTAAAACCACCTGAAGCACTATATAAAGATATAAAATCCATTGTAATTTAAAGAAAAAGACGCACAGCATGTCAGTAAATAAAGTCAATAATATTTATTTCAATTAGCAGCTCACAATTATCTACCGTACTCTATGAAAGTCAGCACGAGACTCCATCAATATTTATATTATTATGTATTATTTATAAACATTCATTCTGTAACAAAAAATTCTTAAAAATTTTTTTATTAGCTTCTAGCACATATTCAATTTTGTAGTAATTAGAACACGAAGACACTGATCAAAAGAAGTACAAACTGCTAATCCCAATTTTTCAGGACTCCAATTTAAAGAGCTGATTGGTTGTGAGGATAAATTTGCATTTTGCAAAGAATGTATTGTACCCATAGATCCTTCTTCTGCTCCTTCTGAATCTAAGTGTCTCCTTTTACTTGGATATTTGCTAAAAAGAAATTCATTTTTCAAGATGAATACAATTGTTAAAAAAGAAATTGAAAATAATTTAATAAGAAAATACATGGTGGGGAATTTAACGTCAGAAATATCACAATTATAGTTCTATATAAAAGATATCTTTCCGACAATTTTTTTTCAAATTCAAAAGTGTTAATGATACGTCATTTTGAATTTTAATATTAATTTTATAAAATTTGGAATATCTCGGAATATTGTAGGGTAAATCCGGGGGAAATGGCCATATAGAAGAGATGGCCAGTTCAAATATTTTAGAGAATTTGTAAACAAATATCACTTATTTTGGGTTATTCTTTACTTATGCTTTTGTGACTAATAATAAATGTAAACAACAAATTATTGAAAAATAATAAGGGTGCCAATAAGGGTGCACTACCGAAAGCAACATATCACCGATTTTTTTGGAACTTGGTATACTTATGTAATTTTGTGCCCTGATTACGAAAATCATAGTGAAAATTGGCGACTAGGTCATCTTCATGGTAAAAACCATAAAAAACACCATAAAATTGTGGTTTTTTGCGTTTAACTCGTTAGATTGGATTAATCATAATTTTTTGTGTTTAAAAATATTTGTAAATTTTTTTCTGCTTTTTTTTGAAGGAGGAAGGAGTCATCCACCTTGGGTTTTTCAGAATTAAATAGAAAACAAAAAATTTCACAATTATCTCTCCAATCAGTTAAATTTTGATAAAAAAAAAAATTTCCAACCCAAGGTGAATGACTCCTTCCTCCTCTACATAAAAGCAGAGAAAAATTTACAAATATTTTTAAACACAAAAAATTATGATTAATCTAATCCAACGAGTTAAACGAAAAAAACCACTATTTTATGGTGTTTTTTATGGTTTTTACCATGAAGATGACCTAGTCGCCAATTTTCACTATGATTTTCGTAATCAGGGCACAAAATAACGTAAGTATACCAAGTTCCAAAAAAATCAGAGGTATGTTGCTTTCGGAAGTATATCCTTTTGTAATTGAAAAAAAGTAAGAATCCGACAGTAGTCGAACACCTAAAGCAATCTTCTTAATTAACACTGTTTTAAAAGTGCAATTCTTATTTTTTTCGAATTCTTTTATGAGATAAAAGAAAAAACGATCAGAAAAAACTATTAAACCAATCATGTTTATAAAAAAAATTTTATTCGTTAAAAAAATTAGTAAATAAACAACTAAGAATCCGGCAGTAATCGGCCACTTTAAAAAGCTTTCAAAAACCGAAAAAAAAAATTTTTTTCAATTACAAAAGTTTTTATTTGTTTATGATAACCTTAGAAATGATTAGCAATAAAGAAAATATTTCTAACTCATACGGTTTTATAGCTATTCAAAATTGAAAAGTGTCCGACTACTGTTTGGTTTACCCTATTTTTTGTTTATTAATTCCTCTCAGAGAATCTAACCTAATCTAACAACCTAGATTAGAAAACCCATTGTACCAGACTCCAGCTCGTTAGTTTATAGCAACCCCTTTAGAGTCATGTTCTTTTCCCATAAGTCCATCTCTTCTATCGATAGGTTGCTCACCTGCTTAGGGTCAATAATTGCTTGACCTCAACTAGATAGTCTGATCCTAGCTAACGCTGGGCTTTCAGACAATATGTGAGTCGAAGTTTCGTTACTCGTCTCACAATCTGCACATAGGTGAAACTTGTCTGCCTATTTTATGCTGATGGTAGTTCAATAGTCCATGACCCGTAAGTAGGCGAACTACGGTTCTAACTCTGATCTTATCGAGTTTTAGGAGATCGCTCGCTCGCCTCCTGTTGAGCGCTAACCCCAACAGAGTTTTCGCTTGCCTTCCCACCCCAATGCTCGCCCAATACTTCTCATGTTCCTTTTCACCCCATCTTTCTATGGCTCCCTTAACCAAACATGGCATTATTGCCACTGCTGGTTCAGGACCTATAAATTTCGTCTCGGAACCGGTTTTCGCCAAGACGTCTACTCTTTCATTACCCTTGATTCCCGAGTGACCCGGTACCCAAATCAATGAAAGTCTATTTACTGAACCCAACTCATCAAGTACGCTGCGGCATTCCCAGACGAGTTTTGATTCTATTGTGGGATTTTTCAGAGCTCCTAAGGCCGCTTGACTATCCACACAAATACTAATTCTCTTGCCCTTTGTTCCATTTCGAATGGATATTTGGGCGCAAGTTAAAATCGCAGACCTCTGCCTGCCAGACCGTGGCATATTGTCCCAGTGACTTTAATGCAGCCAGTTTTTCGAAAGATTCCGAAGCCTGCACCGCAGTCCATCATGGAGCCGTCTGTATACCAGACTTTGTCACCAAGTGGAAAACCCTTCTTCCAGTCCATTCTGAAAGGTATGAAGGTCTTAACCCTTTAACGACGAGATGTGCTACTTTTCAACATGAAATTCAATCTCTTACAATTAGTAGAAAAAAGCCATAAAAGTTTTTAAAAGTCCATACCCTACTATTTTTGGGGTCGCTCTTTCGAATGGTGTGGTCAAAATTTTCAAAAAATGATATTTAACCCTTCTTTTTTCAAAAATACTAAAAAAAGTCAAGTTTTTTTAATGTAATTTTTTTCAAAAGAATTTTTTTCTGTGTCTTAACGCTTTTCAAATAGAACAAAAAGTATCAAAAACGTGTTCCCGATAGTTGTACTTGAAAAATATTCATTTCTAAATTTTATTTTTTTCGATTTTGAATTTAAAATGGCGCTTGAAGGACAAAAATTTTTTCTTATTTTACGTAAGATGACAAACTTTTTCAAAATTGCTCAAATCTGATTAAAATTTGTTACTCAGGGGTTTTCGTGGTCGCTGATTACAAATCTGATGTCCATTTGCCAAAATTCAAAATGTCGGATCCAATATGGCGGATGACTTTTTTAAAAAATTGATCGAATTCGCTTGAAACTCGTTACTCGGGGGTTATCGGGGTCGCTGGTTACGAATCCGATGTCAGTTTTTCAAAATTCAAAATGGCGGATCTAATATGGCGAACGAAATACAAAAATTGTTCAGATTTGCTTGAATCTTGTTACTCGGGGGTTTTTGGGGTAGCTAATTACGAATTTGATATCAGATTTTCAAAATTCAAAATGGCGGATCCAATATGACAGATGACTTTTTTAAGAATTAATCGGATTCGCTAGAAATTTGTTACACTGCGGTTTTTGGGTTCGATAATGACGAATCTGACGTTAGATTAAAAAAATTCAATATGCCGGATCCAGAATGGCGGACGAATTTTTCAAAATATCTTAAACCTGATTGAAACACGTTACTCGTGGGTTTTTGGAGTTGCTGGTTGCGAATCCGATGTTAGTTTTTCAAAATTCAAAATGGTGGAATCGATAAGGCAGACGAGGTGTAAAAAAATATCCTTACCAATTCTTATAGCTATTTTATACCAAGCATTTTGAATTTTTAAAAACGAACATCGGATTCGCAATCAGTGGACCCGAAAACCCTAGATTAACAAAATTCAAGTGAATCCGACTAATTTTTTAATTTCGTCTGCCATATTCGTTCCGCCATTTTGAATTTTGAAAAACGAACATCGATTTTCTCGTACCATAGATCACTTTTAAATTTTCTTGTCACATATTGTGAAATATAGATAAGTTGATACTGGTAGAGTCAGAGCAAATAGAGTATAATAATTCCGCCATCTTGAATTTTTGGAATGTGACTTCATATTCGTAATCAGCCACCCTAAAAATACCACACTAACAAATTTCAAGCAAACCTGAGTAAATTAAAAAAATTAGTCTTTCATTATACTTTGGCCACTTTGAATTTGTTGAATTTAACGTCAGATTCGTCATAAGTGACGCGAAAAACCGCAGAGTAACAAATTTCAAGCGAATCCAATCAATTTTTAAAAAAGTCATCTGTCGTATTGGATCCGCCATTTTGAATTTTGAAAATCTGATATCAAATTCGTAATCAGCTACCCCAAAAACCCCCGAGTAACAAGATTCAAGCAAATCTGAACAATTTTTGTATTTCGTCCGCCATATTAGATCCGCCATTTTGAATTTTTAAAAACTAACATCGGATTTGTAATCAGCGACCCCGAAAACCCCCGAGTAACGAGTTTCAAGCGAATCCGATCAATTTTTTAAAAAGTCATCCGTTATATTGGATCCGCCATTTTGAATTTTTGAAATCAGACTTCAAATTCGTAATCAGCGACCACAAAAACCCCTGAGTAACAAATTTCAATCAGATTTAAGCAATTTTGAAAAAGTTTGTCATCTTACGTAAAATAAGAAAAATTTTTTGTCCTTCAAGCGCCATTTTAAATTCAAAATCGAAAAAAATAAAATTTAGAAATGAATATTTTTCAAGTACAACTATCGGGAACACGTTTTTGATACTTTTTGTTCTATTTGAAAAGCGTTATGACACAGAAAAAAATTCTTTTGAAAAAAATTACATTAAAAAAACTTGACTTTTTTTAGTATTTTTGAAAAAAGAAGGGTTAAATATCATTTTTTGAAAATTTTGACCACACCATTCGAAAGAGCGACCCCAAAAATAGTAGGGTATGGACTTTTAAAAACTTTTATGGCTTTTTTCTACTAATTGTAGGAGATTGAATTTCATGTTGAAAAGTAGCACATCTCGTCATTAAAGGGTTAAAGTGGGGTTTACACTTCACCCTTTTAATCATTCTATCTTGTACCATACTTATTTTTGGGATTGATAGGATTGAACGTGAAAGCTTGGGTAGTAGCTGAAAGCGTCGAACGTAAGTTTTGCCAAACGATGATTTCGCCGAAAAACGCTATATTCAGACTGCTCTTTGAAGAGACGAATAATAGAGGGTCTACTCTGTTAAAAGATGACTTAAGATAATTTTAATTGCGGTGCTTGAATTATAGGTGGATTAGTTGTACCTTTTGTGTTGAATAAAAGGAAGAAAGAGTTTGTAAATAATAATTTTGACAGGTGAAAAGTAAATAATAATTTAACAAAGATAA